CCATATATAAAGTTATAATTATAATTATTATAATTATAATAATTTGTTCCCAGTTCTAAGTAGCAACTTGACTTAAATATATATATATATATATATACATACATATATATATATATTCTATGTACAAATATCACAAGCTTTGGCACACTACTTACATGGTGCGTCGTCTTGGTTTCCATGTAAACCGACATTTCCACTTCTTCCAATGGATGTTCTTGTGACGCTTTCACATTATTTAAATCACAATTATCCATCTTTTTTCCATTAAAGAAGTTAATAGATTTACATACATCCATTGATGAACAATGGGCCAAGCATTCTATCATTGTTCTTGTCGTTTTCGTTTCTTCAATATATCCACGGAGCGCGAATCCTTTTTGATTGCCATCAAAATAAACAGAGTTTCTGCAATCCATTCTGATTACAGCGTTGTTGAATTCCGATGCCGTTCTTTGGAATAAAACTAAAACAAAAATTGGAAGTAGACAGTTTGAGGCCAGAACATTCATTTTGATTCGATTGTTTGCAACAAACCTACGATAATGAACAAGTGAACATCTGGCGTTTTTAAAAAGTGGTCGTGTAATGGTAATGGTGGGATATTTGTAGTGCGCCTTCCACAATAAAATCGTCTCAAGGCGCCGAGGGGGTCAAACAATCAATACAAATAAATTTTTATTTCCGCTTTTAAAAACATATTCAATGGAAACTAAAAACAAACAACTGCAATAAAAATGAAACGTACGATCGAAAAACGATGACTGTCACTTTTCTTTCTTTGCGTCTGATTATTTTATAGGAATCTATAATTTGCCCTGTATACCTGACGTGCCGTCGTACTGAATAGTCCTACTCAGTAAGTCACCAAATACTTGCGAAAGCATCTTGCCAATGAATCGGGTGGGAATCGAACCAACGATCTCCAGATTTCTAGACTGGTGTCATAATCACTTAACCACCGAGCTTGCGCTTTGTGGCTAGTGTTGAATCCGATCCCCAAGTAGCAGTGGGTACTGCAATGCCAGTGATGTCATCACTTGAACACTTCGCAAAGCAAGCGATCCCTTTATCATCATTTTAAACTTTTGTATAGTTAATTCACAGATCAACCAACGATCAATAACTATGACAACCTGACAATCATTCCTATCGAATCTCCTGACCATTTAGAATAAAATTAGGAAATTGTTTAGACATTACAAAGTGACATGTAATCATACTTGAACATTTTTTTAAACTGCTATCATCTGCAACGCAAGCGATCCCTTCAAATACCGGTATCAATAACCATGACAGACAATTATCAAACCTCCTGACCATTTGGAATAAAATTAGGGAAGTTGTTTGGACATTACAAAAGTTACATGAAATTATACTACAGTAGGTTTTTGATGCCTATTAAAACAAACCCAATATTAAATCATTAGAATTGGTCCAATATTCGTAGCTTCCGGTATCCTTTTTTTTTTTGCAATTTCATTTCACACAAAACAGGACATAAACAAAAAAAATCTCTTAGAACTCATCTTAAACTTAATTAACAGTTACTTGTTTTTTTTCCTTTCCTCTTTCTTCCTTTAACTTCATGAACATAAAAACATGTCTTTAATTTCTGTCGTTTTATCTAAATATGTAATAATCTAATTCAAGCAAAATTACAGTACCAAAATTCAGAAAAGTTTGTATTCATTTAATCGTTTAGTGTATGTACTGTAGGCATGTACAGTATCTAAATATTCAGTATAGTAAAGCGTTTGCATCGATCATGGATTTATGGCCGGTGAACATTTTGAGGATTGGCTTGTAGCTGTCTCTTATACACATCTAGATGTGTATAAGAGACAGCATATACACACACAGACAAATACATACATAAACACACAAAAAGGATAAACACATACACACAAACACACACACACACACACACAGACAGATACACAGACCTACACATAACTATACACGAAAACCGAACTTACAAAAAAACACAAAACTAGCACACACACACACAGAAGAAAACACAGACACACATAAACAAATCTTAAATACGAGCACAAACAAACACACACAAGCAGACACAAAAACACACACAAGCAGCAATTCATTTTTTTAAGCAGAAAGGGCGCATTTGTCTGGTTTATACTCTTGACTTATAAGCAATCCACACCCTCAATACATGGGCATCATAGCGGGGAAAAAACATGGATTACAGACTGAAGAATGAATATTGTTTTAAATAGGTTGGCAGGCCTAAATTATTAAAACAAAATATGTAATCTCTTATTTAACAGTTGTTAAGGCACTCCATTTTCTATTGTGAAATAATAACTTATTGTTTCTTTCTGCAATTATTTTCTCGGCCCTTTCTGTCATCATAATTTGTTCTTTAAAAACAAGTATACTCAATGGCCTTTCCTTAACCTTACAGCGATAAATATATCATTTACCTAATAGAATAATCTTACCGGGCGGCCCACGGTCATATTTCCGCTTCGCTCGTTCTGACCAGCCCCCCCCCCCTCACCTTTCGTCTGGCCTTCATCCCCTCCGTCTGGAAGATCCTGACACCATCTCTGTTTACCACTGGTGTATTGCCCATGTACTCTCACCCATTTTTAAGAGCCCCAACACTCGAAGACCCCCAGTTTAAAGAGCTCCAACACTCGACAGACTCTTCACCTGTTGTATCTCCCGTTTACTTTCTTGTGAGAAACTCTATCCCCTATTTCAAAGGCCCCAATACCTCTGCCCGGGGCCTATGAAACGTCTGTTGTGTCGCAGTAATACTCATCGTTTCACCTCTGAGTATACCGCACTTAATTTTGAAGAATTAATGCCAACTCTGAATTTATTATTATTGAATTTATACGAGAACAATGAATAGGCCTATGCGATAGCTAAAACCATGGAATGTGAATTCCAGTGACGTATAAAATGTAAGGCATACTGATCAACCAGTGGTGGCGCCAGGACCTGCTCGACGGAGGGGCTAAAGGCCCCGACGGGGGGGGGGGCTAGTGGAGCGAATCGAGTCTCACTTGGCTGGGGGCCTGGGGGCCGCCTAGGGCCCCCGGTGGGGGTCCAGGGCGGCCTCGCCTCGCCTCCTGGAAGCCACGGGTATTTGATGAATTATGGCGATTTTTTTGTTACTTATTTGATAGGCATCGAGTTACTATAATATGACTTCATGTAGGCTATGCTTTCTAATGTTGAAATCAGCTTCCAAAACCAAAACATTTTGAATAAAGCAAGAAACAAAGAGTATGCAATCTAAACCATCTAATTTATTTTCAAATCCTCATTCTTGAAAGTGAAATTCTATATTTTGGAAATTTTGCATTAAATCTGTCAACCACGCTGTCATGGTCGAGGTTGCTTCACCTATCACGATGTATTCCAACCATCATGAGGCTATCTAAATGAGCATTTGTCATAACAGAACACAAATTATGTTGTGATTAGAAGTTAACACAAACAATATGGTGGCTAAACGAATATTACATGTAAATTTTTTTTTTTATTTGTTCCCCGACAAAATATATCGTCTTCCCCGACGGGGGGGGGGGGCCAGCCCCCCCCCCCTCTGGCGCCACTACTGTGGTCAACGATTATGCTTTTGTCTAAATTTTACATTGAACGCCTATCGTCTGCGATATTCTGTTATTTCGAGGGCGCCTTTTGTAGTAGGTTTATTTATTACTACGTACTAAGGTTGCATAACGGTACATGGGTAATACAGACAAAATACTGTAGTGCACTGTGAATGAACCGATGGCGACGTACTATGCGTACGTATAGTAGTTAGTAGTACACTCATCCATATGGCAAGAAGGAGGAACTGCTTCGCGTTGCATTCATTGATCAGACGGACAATGTAATAACAGCAATAAGTATTAATCAATCGTAGCGGCTTGCTCTCATAGAATCTACCTCGATGGAACCCAGGTGAGTGGAATGGTCTCTTGTTGAGGTAAGCGATGAATGTCATACAACCGATCATTCACAGTATGCCTGCATATTTTGCATCGCATAATGGTATTGCATAATGGTATTCATCATATAGCTGAAGATTTAAGGCGATACAACTCCATCTTATATTTTAAATTGATATAGAAATAGGAACGCGTTCGTTTAGTGTATGTACTGTAGGCATGTACAGTATCTAAATATTCAGTATAGTAAAGCGTTTGCATCGATCATGGATTTATGGCCGGTGAACATTTTGAGGATTGGCTTGTAGTGGCTCGTGTACACTGTGAAGGTTTTGTGGATTTCCTCTAAATAACTTGAAGTAGGATATTCATTATGTTCTTGTGTGCTGTTTGAAGTGCTAGCAATTTAACATTTTATTGACTGTGTATTATACTGTATTAAATATTTTCTTCCACCTTCCCCGCTATCCACAACACCATCGCATTACTCCACCACCCTGTTGTTTCCTCTCTCATCATTCCCATATTTGTCTATTATGACTCTTGTGTCAATTGAGCTTATATATATACTTTTTAGTTATCCGGTTACAGCACTTCATGACTGATATACAACGGGCGCATATTTAACATAACTGTGGTCGATTTGTCAACATAATGAATTATTAATGAAATTATGCTATGAAGAATGTATATACGACAGTAAAACCAAAATTACATACTTATATATATGTATATATATATATATATATGTGTGTGTGTTTATATATATATATAAATCAAGAGAGCTTAACACTGTTTAATTATATATAAATCATCAACATTTATTTATTTGTAGTTTATATTCGTTGAGAGCTATGCTACAAGATGTATCATGTCCTTTATTCGTACACATTTCTTTGATATATATATATATATATATATATATATATATATATATGTATGTATGTATGTGCGTATATATGTATGTATGTGCGTATACATGTATATGTTTATATGTATGTATATGTATATATATGCATGTATATATATATATATATGTATATATATGTATACGTATATATATATGTATATATATATATATGTAGATATATATGTGTGTCTTTATATGTATGTATATATATATATATGTTTACATATGTATATATGTAAGTATATGTGTAAATATGTGTGTGTATATATATGTATATATAATGTATGTATATGAGTATAAGTGTGTATATATATGTATATATATACTGTATATGTGTGTGTGTTTGTATATATATGCATATATATATGTGTATATATATGTGTGTATATATTTATGTGTGTGTATATATGTGTGTATATATATGTATGTATATATATATGTGTATATATACATGTATATATATATATATATGTTTATATATATATATATAGGCCTATATAATAATATATAGGCCTATATGATCTTTACGGGGTTTTTTTTTGTTTTTGTTTTTTTTTTTTGCTGCGGTGGCGCTAGGATTTGCCCGACCAATGTTGGCGTGGTCAGGTGTCGTTCAAAATATTGCGAAAGTGGTTCAGATGGCGAACCTCCAAAAATTTTGACAATTTTAGGGGTTTCAGAGGCTTCAGCGTCTACAGGTATTTAAATGTAGAAAATACATATAATTTTTGTTCTCCCCGACGAGTTGTGGTTTATAATACCTCCATGCTTTTCTCCCCAACGGGGGTGGGGCAGCTTTCCAAGACGACGGCTCTGTCCCCACCCCCCGTCCCCACTGGCGTCACCCCTGAGTTTTATTCTTTGCCCTTAAATGCCCTTTATTGCCCTTAAAATTGTGAATTATAGAAAAAAAAGTGTGTATGCATCAAGCGCTGTCTCTTATACACATCTAGAGGTGTATAAGAGACAGGAATAAGTAAGCTCATGCAGTCATCCATTTAAAAACATAAACATTTAATTATTTCTTCTTAATTTTACTTTAAAAAAAGAGAGAAATCTAAAGACCACATTTAGTGCCTAGGGTTCCCAGGTCTCCACCAGAGTCCCAGGGTGAATCAGCGGGAAGGCCTGTAGCACTCCCGCGAAGAAACTTTTGGAATATAAACCATCTCCCGCAAATTCAGGATATTGCAATTTTTTAATAACTGTTGTTTATCAACTGTCTCCCGGAAGTCAGTACCAATGATTATCACCATGCACAGCAACATAAATATGTAAATGTGTTTATAAAAAAATAATTTAAACAGATCTCTCTGAAGTCGAATCTTTATACGTGGACCCCTGACTATGAAACTACTAAAACTATTACCGATACCGGTTATTGATAAGGCCAATATTATGTTTAATAATATTTTTTATCATTCTGTTTTAAGTAAACAATTTACAGCCTTTCCATATCTTGCTGAATGGGGGGGGGGGGGTCTCGATGATCAGGTGAGGGACGCTAATTCGCACAATAAGGTGAGTTTAGGTGTACTAGTGTATAAAATCAAGAAATTTGGTATTTGTGGACCTTTCTTTCCTGGATGAAAAATTCGTTCTTAGTAAGTAATGGTAATGGTCATGGTTGCCTGTTACATCCGGAGTCCTTCAAGGCTCAAATTTAGGACAGTTGTATATTAAATACGGTACTGTAAATTGTATCACAGTGCACTTTGGATTAATTGCACGTTTACTACAGCAGGATATAAAAAGGCTGCCTCTCAGGTCTTCTACTGGTTGAATAATTTTGATTATATTATTAACAGTGCTATAATTAAAATAATTTGGAATTTTTATTGACTCGATACCTTAGTAAACATGTTGATTATTGTATCTAGAAGTAACAGAATGTTAT